ATGTATGTGTATATGGGTCTATCTATCTTATCTATCTGTCTATCTATCTGTCTGTCTATCTGTCTATCTGTCTGTCTATCTGTCTATCTATCTATCATCTATCTATCTATCTATCTATCTATCTATCTATCTATCTATCTATCACCTGTGTATCTATTTATCTACAGGAATAAAACCTTTCATACTGAATCATGTTCTTTCCAATATCTATTATTTTAAAAGTTCATTGATTCTCATAAGAATGCATCTTTTTGATTTTTTGTCTTTACAGAAACAAGAAGTAATTTCAGATTTACAATGACAAGAGACTAAGTATTTAGTATGACCAAGAAACCAACTCTGCATTTCTAATTGGTTGATTTGTCCTATTTGTGTGCGTCGTGTACGTATTCTTGTTCTCATAACACCCACAGCAAAGGGCCCATTGAGAAAGGTCCTGGATCTCATAGACTAAATTTTAATTGAGAAAAAAATAAGTAACAAACAAGCAAGGTAATTTAAGTTAGTTATTTTTGGTATATATATTGTTCAGATTACTTTAGAGAAAAATTCCTTTGGGAAGGGATGTTAGTAATCATATTTACAGCATCTAGTGATGACTTCTATGCAATGGCACCATGAAGGAGGAGCCTCCTAGAAAGGGAACAGTAATGTATGTGTGTGGTGAAGGCACCCTGAGAACACCAAGTCCGCCATGAAGCAAGAGAATAGTGACAGGAAGGCAGCTTGTTCAAGCCATTACTTAAGGAAGATACTGTGGAATTGCTATGAAATTCCTTTTTGATAGGGGTATTGGTCCTCATTTTGTCAGTCAGGATTTCACCAACTTCCTGTAGATAGTATTGAAGATATTGAAGAAATTCTGACAGTTCTTTTCTTCATTCATTACCATTATGAAGCTTGCCCATAGAATAGTGAAAACATTTGATTACTTGGTCTTGTTTTGTTTTTAAACTATATTTAATTACTTTTGCGTGTATGTATAGGTATGGGTATGTGCATACATTGTGGTCCTCTTAGAGATTAGAAAATAATTTTGAGAAATCAGTTCTTTCTGTTGAGCGTGTGGGTTCTAGAGATCAATGCAAGTTTCCAGGCTTAGTAATTCTCTTTACCTACTAACATAGCTTGCTATCACTAGTTTAAATATTTAATAGGCTATTTGATGTGATTTTCCCATTCTAGCAAGTGATATCAGGATCTCTGATATGCAGTAATGATAAAATCCTGTGAATGATACAGCAGTGTTACATTTTATGTCTGATGGTTGACTCACCATTCCCTGTGGGGCCACATGCCTCTTTCACTTAGCGTGTCATAAATTTTGGTATGTAAAATACTTTTAGTGGTAGTACAATGTTCATTGTTTTTGTGAACATGTGAAAACACAAGTTTTTCCATGGAACTCTTGCTTATTTTTACATAAAGTTATAATGGCCTTCTTAATGTTTTATTGCAAGATTCAACTGTTTAATTATTTTATTGTTATTTGTTAGTCATTAAAACAAGGTAATTTAATTAAATATAAGGAAACATGATGACAGTAACATGTGTAGCATTAATTTGTACAGAAAAATTACGGAAGACAGAAACTGAAAACTGAATATGTAAGCTGGATGTGCTTACAATCTACCTCCAAATTTAGTGATTTATAAGTCCAACTTAGGAATTGTGATTTTGTGGATTGTGTCATGATCCTATTGTTCTCTGCAACATGCTTGTCATGATGAAGCTAGAATAGGTAGATTAGTCACCATCGCCATATCCTATACAGTAAGCTCAAGGAAAGTACTGAGGAAAGTCAGTGAATGCTCTAAGGGTACTAAGAGGATGAAAATGCAATTTAGTTGGAAATAGAGCAATATCATTCCCACTGTTACTTTGATAGGGGCTATGAAAATGTGAGGTCACTTTGGTATCAAACTTATCCTAAGTTTAAGTAGAGTTGAGGAACCAAACTTGGTAAGGATGGTTGGAAGAGAGTTGGGGAAGAAAAGAGGAAGAGGCGAGGAGGTGAAAAATAATTCTTGAGAAGGCACAAGTGGAGGAGGCTGCTACTAGGCCTTCTGTGTTCTATCCTGTTGTTGCTCAGTGGCATCAGTCACTCATGTGGGTGTCAGCAAAGTCTTTGTTGACACTTTAGTGACTCTGGGTATTGAACAAGAGAAGAAGAAAACAAAGAGTAAGGTGAAGAGGGCAGGAAGTTATGAAAAGTTCTGGGGGAAAGACTGGGATGAGTTTTGGAGAATTGAAAGTAAACTCAGTCTAGTTTGTGCCCGATCATGACAAGTGAAAGCTTTTGGTAATCAGCAGAGTGCCAGAGATCAAGGTTTCCTTGGTTCAGAGGGGCAACCTGGCATAAGAGCACTGTATATGTGATATCAAACAGTGCCACTTCTGAAGCAACATTTTTGAAGAGTGATGATTTTATGTTTAGTGTGCATAGTTTGAGGGTGTACTAATGATATTTTTGGCTAATACATGACTGTGTGGAAGTGTTGTTGATGGTACTTTAGTTTAAGAAAGTATTCAGATTGACTCTGATAGTTTCCTTAATGACTGGGAAAAGATTGTAAAAGTAGAATCAGTTAGTAGTGAGACAGAAGATTAGAATCTCTTTATTTAAATCACTGAAGACAGAAAGAGCGAAAAATATGTCATGTCTGTTCAACTTGGCAGACAGAATGTATGACTGCATAGAGATCTTTGGTTGTGATTTCTGTTGAGATGTGACTCATCTCCCTACTCCCCTAAATTGGTCAGATGGACTTACAAGGACAAGCAGCTCCTTGTGGGTTTGTGGACAACACATGAATGAGGGTTTTATGGCAGATCTGTTTCATGTGCAGCTTAGGATCTGTGTTATTTTATTTCTTGTAAAAAGAATCAAGCTTTCAAAATTACAGAATACCCCACTTGAACTCCTCAAGTGCATTCAATCAGAACAAAGTTCAAGAGAGTTATGTTGTGCACATTCTAACCTTTTGCACCGTCTAGACACTTTTATACAACATGACATATTCACAGTCTCTATGTGCAAAACTACGGTAGCATGGACTTTTGGGCATGCTAACTTTTAGCCAAGGTTTACCATTCACCAGGCTTGCATACTCCAGATTAGATGATGGTATTTTTCTGTCATCATAACCCTTATGCAAGTACTCAACAGTTTTTGTTATCATATTTTACACATTAAAGAAGCAAAATGGAATTCCTGCTCTAACTTTTATATTCTGGAAATACTTTCAGATAAAGAAGAAAATTAGCATATGCAAATTTCAACCTAGTAAGAGAGTACACAGAAGTGTCCTCTTTTTCTCCTGACTTTAGAGGAACTGTAATTGTTTGTATTTTATAGGGCTCCAGAGTGCTGGAAACACATTCTAAATATAAAATAGAATTATTCTCCTGTTTTGATGAGCAATTCATCTGATCAAAGTTATTATTGCTTATGTTTTGGCATTACCTGATCTAAAAGTCATCATTCATTAAATCTGCTGATGCAGTCTCCTTGTGCTGGGCTTCATGATCTCACATGTCATGTTGCTTGTCATAGAATGATTGTCACTGTCAAGCGGCTTGGTGAACAGGTCTATTGGTTAGTTGGAATAGGTGATTAGCATGGTTAATTGATTAATGTCATCCTTTCATAGAAATATTAAGCTGATGGTACATCACTGTAGGGAAAACATGTGCCACTTAGTTAAAATATTCCTTTTCCCCAGATAAAAGCAGTCACGGGTGCCTAAGGTTCTTTTTGAAGGAAATTTTCCTAGTTAATTACCCAGTCTGTGTTGTTCGAGGCATTCTCTATCTGAGTAAGTGAACTTGCTACAATACTCGTGCCTAGTTATGTGTGATAACTTCAGGAGCAAAACCTCAAAACAGAACTCCAAGGTTGTAGGAGAGTTTCTAATTTTTTTTCACGTTGTACAGATTCAGGAGACATCCTTGGATTCAACGCCAGTCTCAGTTAGAATTAATATCTGGTACTGCAATCTGATCCATGCACTGAGTTTTTTTTCTTCCCTAAATGTACACTAGGCTAGCACATCTAATCAGTGTGGATCCATGTAGTTGGCATTACCTCGCATGCCGCTAAATCTGGGAGTAAACTACCTTTACTCACATTTCGGTTTCTTTTTTATTGCAACCATGTTTGTACCTCTGACAGAATACTGCCATTTTTTTTATTTTCTTTTATAAAATCATGTATTTTAGTCTTTTGAGTAGTGAAAAAATAAATGAGCAGAACTTGTTTATTCTAGAATAGTGAGTTCAATTATTTTTGTTTGTTTTGGGTCCTGTCTGACTTTGTAGACTTGGCTGAAATGTACTTGACCTCCTCTGCCTCACTCTCCTGAGGGCTGAAATTGCAGATGCATACTTCATACCTGTATTCAAAATAGGTTTGTTATTGTAAACGTACTTTATAATTTAAGGATCCTCTCTTTCTTCTGTATTCCTGCATAATCTTCCAGAAGACTCCTAAAAGCTCTGGATAAACAAACTTAAAAATTTTCTTCTAGATTCTAGGTGTTCTGGAGGAAGTCACAAATGTGGAGAAGATCCAAACAAGAAAAACAAAGTACATGCAAAGATGCCATCATGAATTTTATTACTTTGTATGCCAGTTAAAAGCCAGGGTTCCAGGAAATGGCACAGTGGATAAAAGTGTCTACTGCATAACCCTAGGTACCTGACTTAGATCTGAGGAATGCACAGAAAGGGGAACAGAAACAACCAACTCCACGGAGTTATCTCCTGATATCCTGTGACACATGTGTCCAAACACATACCTCGTGTACTTGCACATGTGTGTACAGGCACACACACTCACATAAACATACCTCCAAACTCACACACTCACACACACACACACACACACACACACACAAAGAGAGAGAGAGAGAGAGAGAGAGAGAGAGAGAGAGAGAGAGAGAGAGTTATTTTGAGTTTTGGAAGAATAAAAACATTGATTTATTTTATAGTAGACTTACAACTTGTCATGTTGATGATCCTTTATGTTCCCCTGTAATCTGATGTTCCAACAGCATCTCCTAGGTGCTTACTGTCATCATCTAAGATCTTCTTTATTTTCTCCATGGCACCTTGATGAATCAACACATGTAGGAGACAGCAAATAGTATTCTCCCTAAATCACAAAAGGAGCATGCATATAACTGTGTTGTCAGTGTACAGTATGGCTGATGCTGAAGAATCTATGCTAAATTAAGATTCATTGTGTTCCATTTTGACTTGATATCAAGTATTCTGTCAGCCTGTACCCTTCAAAAAGAACCCTGTGAAGAATGACTTGTGCTGTGGCTTGACAAAGCTCTGGAGTCTCGCAGACTTCTAAAAGATGTTTAGTACTGCATATCCTCGCATGCTGAAAGAAAGTGCTAGCAATAACACCATGTAATTTTGGTATCACTAAATTTAAAATTTGTGTTAAAGTTGCCCATTAAGTCAGGGAAAACTTACTGGATGACAACTTTTTTTCTCTCAGTGTTTGAAAATGGCTTTTATAAAAAGCTTTCAGACAGACGCTTAATTGAAAGCTGCCTTTTAGCTGTATGATGATGATGGATTTATTCAAATTTAGATGTGCGTGTCTGTTCTTTTCTGTGATCTTAAAGATAGACAATGTCTATGATGTTTTAGACACGGATGGACTGAGGATATGTTTGTGGACCCCAGCCACTCTTATGTGTTACGATGCATTCCTTTTTATTCTTTTTTTCTGGACCCAACCAGCCTGAGACTCCAATGAAAAAAAGATACTAGAATCTGGGGGAAGGTGCAGGAACCATTTCTGTTACATCCCAAAGGAACCCTGTAGTCTTTAACTCACCAAGAATTAAGAATAACATGAGGATACTGTCCTGTGACAAGCACGCACAGTTTGAAATGGGATGAAATGGGAGAAGACAGGAATAGGAGTGACTCCTGTAAGTCTGCAAACCACGCATCTCAATTCCGACATGCATAAATTTCCATCCTCTCTCCTTTGCACTGCTGCCTCACACAGCACTCTTGTGCCCTTCGACACAGAGCAGCAAACCAGCCAGTTAATCTGGAAATGTAATTAACAATGTCCTGGGCTGAGATACCTGACCAAAAAAAAAAATCAAAACAAAACAAAACAAAACAAAAACAAAACAAAAACAGGTGAAACAAACTTATTTATAAAATCCATTCCGCTTATAAATTAATATATTTTTATAGCACAAATTTGCAAAGAATGTAGAGGTAATAATCTCTTTCTCACATAGGGAAACTTCTGAAGGCAAACAAAATCAATAAAAGTCCATGCCTGAGCAGGAGGTTAATGGACTTAAGTGAGCGACTCCTTCCTTGTTATTCCAAGCATGTTGTGCCTTACTACTAGGAAGGGTGAGAATACCAAATTCAGCAGAATATTCAGGTGTGTGGAAGTGCTTTGAGCTCTAAGTATTCATGTCTTTGTGCCTAAGTATGAATAAGTAATTATCCTAATATGTTTTACTGCTATTAAAATGTAATGACAAAAGAAAAAAAAAACAGACAAAACACCAGCACTTGCCTCAGCTTCCATCTGAATTTGTTCTTCCTTGGGTTTTTCTCACTCGCTTTGTTTCTGATGGAACACCTTGACAGATTCCTGTCAAGTTACAATAGTTGGCGGTGTGATGAAAAGCCTTTGTGCAGAATGATATTATAAGATACTCAGAAGAAGGAAGATGATGTTTTTACCATGTGATCTAATGATCAGATTTAGCAGGTGACATAAACTTATGGGGAAAACATGGATTAACCCAATAGTGGTGAACAGCATAGCATCAATATTTTTTCTACTAAACTGTGCAATGTGGTAAGGGTCTATTCTCTTGGCTCTTATCTTTTATGAGATGTATTTGAAATATACTTAAGTAGAGAAGACTCCAAAGATGACTGTAGCTTTTCAATTCTTCAAGTGTGGTGAGTATAAGGAATACATTGCTATTATAACTATTTGTAGAAAGACAAACTTAATGGCGGTGATTTCACTATGAACTCATAAAATTAAAATGCAGCAAAGAAAACCATCAATAAACTGAAAAGGCAGCCTACAGAATAGGATAAAATCTTCTTCAACTATCTATCCAACAGATGATTATTATCTAGAATATACAAAGAATGTACAAAACTAAACATCAAGAAAACAACCCAAATAATAATTGGGCCATGGAACTAAATGAAAATTTCTCAAAACAAAAATACTTTTCTTAAATTTTAAACAGTCTACGAATTTATTTTAATGAAGATGTCACGTTTTTCTTAACTGCTTGCTTAGAAGGTTTTACCTTGAATTGGGCATTTTCACAATCTCACATCCTATAGTGGACATACTCCAGGAAAAGTTGATCAGATTTTCTCATGGAACCATCTGAAGTCAGTGACTTTGTTGGAGTTTTCAATGCAGCAAAGCAATGAGTCAATATGCCTTGGCAGGAGCCCTGTATTTTATTAGACGCCACTTAATGCAAAGCAAGGTTCTTAGAGAATTGGCTGAGGTACTGGCATGAATTGGCTATGGAAACCAGTTCCTGATCTGGGCTCAACTCAGGCCTGTGAGTTATGTACTTTCAGAAACTAAAGAAGCTGCCTAAACTGTACTACTAAAACCTTTACCCATAGAGAGGAGGAATACAAACAACTCACCTTATAGCAGTATTTTAAAAATTCAGTAATCTCATCTAGCAGGGTATCTCATAGTATTAGTTAGTTCTTGGTGTCAGTAGTAGCAATGTTTTTATTGGAGAAGAGAGAAAGGGAGAAGAAAATGCAAATTGCTAGGCAATGTAGGAGATGATGAAACTGGAACTGGATAGTGATCAAAATCAAATTGTCCAATGATTCACAACCTTAGAAACATGAAAGAGATCTATAAATAAGGATAGGCCTTTAAAATCACCTTTCCAGGATGACTCAGAGATAATTTCTGAGGATGGTGAGGAGAGCAGTCATTTCTCTTCTGATTAAAGTTATTAGGGAGAATCAGTTGATGACTTAATTGATTAAATTCACTTAATCTTTCTACAAACCTTGTGTTCTTTTTACTTAACTTTTAGATGAATTTTATTTAAAAACTATTAACATACAACTAAATATGTGTTCTATAAGTATGTTGGTTCATGAATTTTGAGAAATATAAATGCTTTCATAACCACTTTCTTCATCAAAATATGGCATACCTCCATCCCCAAAACTGACTATTTTACTTTATAGCCAGGCTTTGTGCCCCAACCAAAGCAATAGTTAAGCAACTTGTTGTCTTTATAGATTAGTTGTGTGTGCTTTAAATGGTGTGACATAAGGTTCTATTCTTAAAATTTGACTTATTTTCTTTCATGTAAGATTTATTTCAAGTCAAGTTTGAGCTTATAAAGAAGATATATTGCAACATACACATATACATTATATATATATATCGTCATGCACAAGAGAATTGTCTGTACCTTTAATGAAAGTTTTGGTAAGTATCAAATAGTAGGGAAATTGAATCATGGGGCAGTGATCATTGTCGGCCCACACAAGCTTGCCTGGCGTGGGCCCTGTCTCTGACTCATTTCAGGTGATAAGTACTTAAGATGCATGGCTGAGGGTGGATCCCTCAGCATAATTATTGCTTCCCACTTTATTATGCTGTCATGTCCCTGACTCAGTCCTACATGTGTGTGTCCACATGGATGGAGATGCTTGGTGAGTTTCTCTCTCATGCCTCCGAATATAGCAGCTTTTAAAAGTATTCTTTACTTTTGTCTAGTGTTGAGGACCATTCAAAACTAAATGTTTGAAATGTTCTAATGATCTTTTGAAATTGCAGACCCTTACTGTGTCTAGAGACATCATGCTTCCACAGGATGCCCAGCTCTGTTAGGTGCCATCAGAAATGGCAGAGACACTAAAGCTATGGTCTTTGTTCTAGAGAAAAAAAATGTATGTGACCAAACGAAAATTGTAAAAGGAGCGGGAAACTCGGCCACACCTTAAAAGTGGGTAAGATTTCACTTGTAGGGAGTGTGAGGCATCCTCATTTAAAGAAAATGGGTAAAATTAAGATGACGGTTGGAAGTAGGTGGAGGAAATTGGTAGACAAGCATAGCAATATCATATCATAATTGTCTAGATTACAGTAGAAGTGACTTGAAAATAAAGGTTCTGTTTTACTCTGCTCTATTCCCAGCATCTGGTGGGGTGCTGGCATCTTAGGACATACATAGTGTTTACCGTTTAGAGAACTGAAGAGATGAAAGGAATCTCATCACCACAACTGTACTAGGAAAAAATGTGCCTTTTGTTCAATTTTATGCACACAGCTAAAAAGAGCCATCCTCCTCTTTAAATTATGAACATGGTGGTACGTCTCCTGAGAATACAAAGACCATTGAAGACTTTCTCCTATTGCTCTTCTGAACCCTGAGACTAAAGAGTTGTTTCTTAAGGGTGACTGAGTCCCTCCCTTTCTCAGCCTAAAACTTACTTATCTCTTGTACCTTTCAGTTGTGGACATATCTACAATCCGTTGGAGGACTCTGTAGAAGAATGTGTCCTTTTATGGGAAACTGGATTTGTTAATAGCATCTCAGACGATACCGTATGTGCCCTAGTAGTCATGATAGAATCTGACAGTAGGAATCAGCATCAGAGAATTGTTACTTAATTGGGAGCAACCTTTACTTTGAGGGTTAATTGTACTTTATACAGGACTATTGCTTACAGTACACAGTGCTCTCCTTTTGGAGAGAAGAAATATATTGACTTTTGTTCTTCTGAATAGTTTATAAATTGTTTTAATTTTTCTACTTTTTGAATTTCACTAACTTGGGAATAAATTATATTTGGAAATGATACTAAGTGGTCGACTGCTGTACAAGAAATACTTTGCAGTACTTCATCTCTAAAATAATCTAGCGGGGCTTAACTAAACTTCTGCCTTAGCCTGGCTCAGCTTTGCATATAGTTCAATTCCTGCCAAACTTTAACAAATAAGTGTGAGAGCGTGGTTGGCAGATACCCAATCCCAGCAGTCAGCCTAAGGATTTCTCCACACCAGGGATTAGCAGTTTTCCCATGCCATAAAGACAAGTCCAGATATTCTGTTTTGTAAAACTGGCAGTAAAATTTGATGCATTTTCACAAAGGCAATTTTTAGGACCTATGTAGTTTTTGTTCATTGCCAGTATAATGATGAAATATCCTGTCTTGATTCAAAATTAGGTTATAATTGGGTTAAAAAGACTTTTTTTCCCCCAATACCTCATCATTATTTGTTGATTAGTCATCATACTTAAAAATATTGCTTGGTGAAGTCAGTGGAAAATTTTCTTCTCTTGAGTTTAGGTAGCCAATAAATACATTACAAATATCATGCAATATGATTTTATCCTAGTTTTTTTAATGTAATGCATATGAAAAGATCTTGGTCTTGCTGATGTGTTGAATTATGTTAGTATTTAGCAAACAAATCAAATTAAAATATACTTCTATCTTCTGTGCCTTTAAGAATAATTAGTTATAGCAAGTATTATTATCACTGTAGTTCACATTGCTCCATTTCTCTTTGATAATACTTTCACTATGTCTAGAATATACCTAACCTCATTAAACTCCAACTAATTCTTTAAGATCTGATTTATGACTAAAATGTATATAGATTATAAAAGAAATGAAGGTATCTATCTTTGTCAAGATTTGTTTATAGAGTTTTCTATAAACAAAATTTATGCATGCAAAATATAAAATTTATATTATATTATAAGTTAGATTTTATAGATTATATAGTATATTAATTAAAATTATAAAATGCAAAATATAAAAAATTAATTAAAGGTTTTAGAGTATTAAATCAATGAATAAATGTCATCTATATTTTTAAATATGGTCAATGAGCAACTCAGAATTAAATGAAGAAAATAATTTAATTTATAATACTTTGAAAAATATCTAGAGTTAATCTAATAATGTGTGAAGATATGTAAACCAGAACTATAGTTTTTTAAAACATTTTTAAGTAAACTACAGAAGACAGAAATAGATACATTGAAAATGTTTTACATTTATAATTTCAGAGATGCCAAACTGAGAGACA